TATATCAACACTTAATTTTTGATTAGTAATATGCATTGCTAAGAACTTCATTTGGACAACTTTAAAGGCAATTTTCTCAGTATTTTGATTTTTTTGCACCCTCAGATTCCAGATTTTCAAATAGAAGTATTAGATGCCAAATATTGTCCTATCCTAACAAACCATACATCAATGGAAAGCTTATTTATTCAGCTTTCAGATCAATATTTTTTATTTATTTATTTTTTGCAAGTTCCCTGTTTGCATTTCCTGTGCGTTTTGATGCCGTTTGAGAAGATGTTTGTTGTGAGATGACTGTTAGAGAAATCTTTTTCTTCTCATCCACTCAAATTGCTTAGCTACGCAAAGGCCTATAATTTATTTTACTTTCCTTAAAAAGCAACTGAATTTGAACATTGAGCATTATGAGATTAATTGTGATTACATATTTTAATTGACTGACAGCCCCACATTCAGTACTCCAGCATTATAGTCCAACACTGAGTGAAATGCACAAAGAGGAAACAAACCCACAGCTGGTCACGAGTCAACACACACACTCCCACATCCCCATACAAACTCTCAGCACACGCACACAGTCTGGCTGAAACAGCTGTGGCTTCTCCGAGGGTCAGTCTGTGTGTATTAATCACTGTTGCTTTATTAGCATAAATGATCCTGCTTAGTGATCGTTCCACTGGTGCAGGGAAAACAACAACGCCGAGAGAGAAACTGCGTCTGTCATTGAGCTCACTGTGCATGTGATCAGCCATTTGTCTTCACTTCAGAGTCGAGCTAATGATGAGGAATCTGGTGCACATGTAAATGCGAGGAGAGAAAACTCATCAAAAGAATTAGTGTCTTTTAGCCTTTAGTTTTTTTGTGAAATGAAAAATGAAACCCGTTTTTGCTAAGCCTATTTAAAGAAATAAATTAAAATCACTTCCTGTAAACTATAAATCAATATGGCTTTAAATAACTAATAGAAATATAAGAATTAAACTTATAACAGGATATCCCATGGCTTTAAAGCTACTTCAACAGGCTGACAGAAGCTCAGGTTTACCTGAATACTTGGGATGTCCTGCAGGAACTTCAAGCTGACAGACTGGAGGGCCTCCAGGGGCCATTCCCGGAACCAGTCCAGAGTGGTGCAGTTCAACAGAGCCGGGAAACGTCGGGCACGTAGACGCAAGCTATTACCTACTGGAGACATGCAGAGCACGACCTACACACACATACAGTACGCACACACTGTAGACACTGATCCAAACCAGATATGCAATGTATATCAACTGCTGTGTATACTAAAAAAAACAATCAGTGATGTGAGACCTTGAGTTGTTGTCGCACTCGATTCATAAAAAAGCTCCAGCAGTTCTCGCTGTTGTCTAGCAGACCCAGTTCCCGCACCTCACTCCTCACAGCTTTTCTAACACCATCCACCTCCTCTTCACTCAACAGATCAGGGATCTCACCTGGGGTCAGACCACCGATAAACACATTACTTTCACTTAAACAGGGGTCATGTGTATTTATGTATTTACACAGCTTTATACTGAGCAAGTACCATTTAGATACTAGCCAATGTTAGATACTAGTTAGGTAACATTTTAGTCTCTATACAGTAGTATTTATGCAAAAAAAATTTCTACCGTATTCTGACATATAATCTAGACCCCTTTCAAACAGTGTCGCGTTCCGAACGTTGTTTAAGCGACATACACCGGTATTGCGGTATTATAAAAATTCATATCATAACAAAAATAAACACCGGTATTCGGTATGAACCGGTATACCGCCCAGCACTATAATCGAGTGTAATGGATTACCAAGAAAGAAAAAAAATGTAAAGCTGGGCCTTGGTTCTATGCAGTGATTGTTGATTGGATCTTGAGATTGTGAACTCAAAAATGAAAGCAGATAAATGTGGACTTGAATGATGAAGTCTGTCATTTTCACATTTTGATTAAATATTATGAGGTCAAAAAATGTTAAAAATGAAACAAATGCATGGATATGTTTACAAGAACATCTATAATGAGCATTTAGAAAATATATAGGGTGAATTTTCTTTTCATGCCAACTTTAAAATTAAAATTATAAAAAAAAAAAGATTTTTGTTAATTTAAATAACTGAAAAATATATAAATATTAGACTAAAAATTACTAAACATTTAAATAAAAACAAAACATAATTCAAAATATTAATAAAACTATTATAGTAATTAAAATAAAAAATATAAAGACAAAACAAATCAAAATATTCATAAAACTTTTATAGTATATAAATAACACTAAGAAATGACTGCAACTAACTGCAAAATATGGTTCAAGTCATTAATTTATAACATTAATTACAGTAAATTAAAATTCTTCAGAATTAAATATGTAATTATTTATAGCTGTATTTACATGTCTCTCATTCAAATAAAAACCATCTAAATAAAAAAAGGAGTGTATATATTAGGGATGGGAAGATTGCCCGATTCGCTCGTGCATCGGCATAAAAAGTTAACGATGTGATGCATCGGTTTAAAAAGTGTGTATCGGCTAAAAGTCAGCATTTGTATCGGCATCGTTTCAATAAGCCTGGCTTATTTGGTAAACTTGTTTTATGAAACAGGCCTTGAGGCATTAAAAGTGATCATATTTTTTCCATTGCATCATATTGCATCGAATCGCATTGTGTTGAATCGAATCGAATCGAAATCGGATCGCACTGCATCGTAATAGGGGGGCATCATATCACATCGCATCGGTAGCTGCTTCATATGTATCTTTAATGTATGGTATCGTTGGCTATGCATCGAGATGCGTATCATATCGGCCTCAGTCATGAGATGCACATCCCTAATGTACTGATGTCAAGTATATGTACTATATGTACTATATATAAAAGTTCTATTTTTGTGTTATGAAAATGACTACACTGCCAAATAAATGCTATTCATACAAATCCTTTATGGCATGTAGGAATAAATTCATTCTTGTGCATTTAAGCATTAGCAATTACACACGCATTAGTTAAATTATGTTACATTTGTTAACTCTGATGCTTTATTCTGGTTCAAGCACTAAGACCTCTGCGCTTGACATCAGTGACAGATGAGAGCCACCATCTGTGTTCTGTGGGTCTTGATCCAATGACACGCAGGCCTGTTCCAGTCACCCTTAATCTACTTCACCGGCCCCATTCCATTTACATATGTTTCCCATTCATCAGATCAACACACAATGAGCCCCCCTGTGGCATGTATAAATGTGTGCGTGTGCGGGAGGGTCTGACCTGACGATATCAGGGTGCTGATGATGACGAGAAAACGGTCCTCTGGGATCTGAGCGTCTGTGAGGAGCAGGATTGTGGGTATGTTTTTCACCCCCGTCTTCATGTACAGTCCAGCCAAATCCACCTGAAAAACACATGAGAGATAGCTGAGAACACTTACAATATGGAAGAGAGCACAACCAGTCTCCAAAACCAGTTTGAGCTGTGGCTTAGTGGTTAGAAGAGTTATGGTGCTCATGTGGGAGATTTGAGTTTGAATCTGGTCCGCACACAAATTCCAATCCCATTTTACCCTCTTCTTTCTATCACTTCCTGTCACTTTTCCTTTCAAATAATGAGAAAAAATCTTAAAAATCAACACGTCGGAAACTGTACAAAAGCAAATAAATTAATAAGTGTAAAAATCCCAAATAATACAAATAATTCTGCCACTTCAAATGCTCAAGCTCCAAATTTGCTTGATTCTGATTGGCTATGAATGTTTTTAGCATTATTCAGCTGGAAAAAAATTCCAACAACTCTGCGTCATTATTGATATAGGTGTGGTCTTCCCTATTCTCATCTAATTAAAGCGATTTTTTCAAAACGCTATAAGCTATAGTTATAGTCAGAGCTGGGTAGTAACTGATTACATGTAATCTGGATTATGTAATCAGATTACAAAAATTACAAAAGTACTTGTAATTAGATTAAATTACATTTTAAAATGCTCGGAATCAGACTACAGTTACTTTTTATTGATTACATATTATTCACACAATAGCAATAAATTATTCATATTTTATTGATTCTCCCTAATTCTTCTTATTCATCTTTTAAATGTTTCTTTCTAAAATAGCCTACCGCTTATATACATTCAGAAAGTAATACACAAATTCACAATATTTCTTATTTGCATTTAATGCAGGCATTCCCAAACTTTTTTGTCATCTGAACATCTTTCACTTAATATATTTACTTGAAGTACCCCTGAGATTTTAATCTAAAATAAATATTTTAATAATGAAGTATCACATTTGCATGTTCATGGTTCTCTGACGATGATTAATGGTCACATGACATGCAGGGTAAACAAATATATATATATATATATTTTTTTAGTGTTTTATTTTGATTAATGTTATTTTTAAAATGACTTATTTTTATTTCCCATTTTTATGATTCAATTAATTATTAGCTTTTCATTAAACTCATGAAGCCCCTGCAGTTCATTTATGAACCCAAGTTTGGGAAACCTTGAAGTAACGTAATGTTTAATGCACTTCATGATATTAATTACAATGAATGGAATATATTTTCTTACTATTTGTATGTTTATAGGAATATGGTATGAGATTATCCTATTTAAATCAACGTGTTAAACGACTTAAAAAAGTAATGTAAAAGTAATCAAAAAGTATTCTAATTACATTACCTAAAATGTGTAATGTAATGGATTGCGCTACTAACTACAATTTTTGTCATGTAATTTGGAATCAGGAACGGACTACAATTTCTAAGTAATCTACCCAGCTCTGGTTAAAGTTATCATAATAGTTATCATCCTATATGTGAATGTGCCAGAGCCAACTAGAACACAGAACTAGAATCAGTAGAACACAGAAGCAGCATTCAGAAAACCTGTATAAAAATTTAAATTTTTACAATTCTGGTGCTTCTAGCAGCAAACTTCAACTTTAAAGATATTGTTGCTCAGCGAATTTTCACAAGTGAAATCCAGTCGTTTCAAAAGGAATCCACACAAATGGGAAAGGATTTCACCGGGCAGATTTTGCAACAGGTTCATGTTGGTCACATGACCAACACAAAGCTGCTTGGTTTGAAACGACTTTTCTGTGAGCTGTGCTATATAAAGTGCTGCACTATTGACAATAGACAAAGGACCGCAAAACATAGCCGAAATTTCGCTAATGTGACCTTAACAAAAGGAAAGTTGTTCAACATGACTACTCTCTTGTAATACTGCATATTTACATATATGCATAGAAGCAGGATGAGACCAAGATGAAGTATCTCTTCATGATTATGCGTAGAGGGCATCAAACAGTGAGTGTTGAGTGTATAGAGATCAATGCAGCTCAGCCAACTGGCCTCAGATTTACCACACACTGATGAATGAAATGATAGCAGCGGCCTCATCAATAGGGCATTGAAATATTTGCCTTGGTTCTTTAATAGGATCTGGCAATTACTCCCCATTGCATCCGGGCGGGACTAAATGAGATCGAAGGAGCCGGACGGGGTATTGATCAGGGAAAGTGTTGTCTAAAAGAAAGCTTGATCCCTGGTAATGAATCACCGCCATTTTAGATTTATCCTCACCTCACAGCAGTGATGGGTACTATGATTTGGGCAGCTGATATGGGTTACGATGGTTTGGCACAATATCAAAGTCGCATTTGTTGTGGTTTCTGCTGTATGTGGTTTTCTCATTTTCATCTTGTATGCCATTGATTGTATTGTGCTGTCTACTGAGGCGGTTACCTTTAGGTCCTGTATGTTGTAGCCCTTGCTGAGGGTGGGCTGGAACACATCCATGTTGGAGAGGTGGGCGGCAAGGCGGGTCAGGCTTTGTTTGCCACTGCCCCCCACACCTACGAGGAGGGCATGGCCTCTAGGACATGCCAGGATGCGACTGATCCGACACCTGCAGAAACCAGTAAAAAAAAACATGTGTGTGTAAGTACAGTTAAATCTGTATTCACTAAAGCACATACTGCAGGCGTAGCACTCACACATGCTGCATGGCTTCCTGGAACAGCACCAGGTTCATGGCAGAGTGGAGCTCGTTGTAGCTGTCCAAAGCCTCACTGAGGATACAGCTGAGCTGCTCCCATCCAGCTACGGGCGTGTAGGAAGGTTCTGCAGAGCCCACACTGCTGTGCAGGTATATTAGTGGCTCCTGCAACACTGCCTCTTCCTCTATTTCCTTTAGGAGACAAACAGAGAACAACTGCATGTTAAAGAACAATAGTATTAACATAATAGTATCGCATAATAGAGAGCCTGGAGTTTTACTGATGAAAAGTGAAGGAGGAATCAGGATAGATTTTTCATTATATATTTATTTTTTGTCATTGATTTTGTTGACTGGTTTATTACTTGTAGATACATATTTATATTATAATTTGTAGTAATTACAAATATTTATTTATTCATTGCATTTATTAT